ATGGTCAACATGATCCTGGATGTACCATAGTCAACATGATCCTGGATGTACCATGGTCAACATGATCCTGGATGTACCATAGTCAACATGATCCTCGATGTACAATGGTTATGGTTATCATGATCCTGGATGTACCATGGTCAACATGATCCTGGATGTACCATGGTCAACATGATCCTGGATGTACCATGGTCAACATGATCCTCGATGTACCATGGTCATCATGATCCTCGATGTACCATGGTCATTATGATCCTCGAGGTACCATGGTCATCATGATCCTCGAGGTACCATGGTCATCATGATCCTCGATGTACCATGGTCATCATGATCCTCGATGTACCATTATTATGGTTATCATGATCCTGGATGCACCTTGGTGATCATGATCCTTGATGTACCATGGTCAACATGATCTTCGATGTACCATGGTTATGGTTATCGTGATCCAGAATGTACCATGGTGATCATGATCCCTCGATGTACCGTCATACAATCAATCCGTTGCAGAACCCCTGTCTAAATGTTTAGCGCATTTTTCATTCGGTTTTCCTAATACCATACAAAGTTAAAAGGATAACTTAGTAAACTAACGAATGCATGATTATATTAATGATATCTTAAATTCAAATTTGCGTTATCTAGTCCTGAAACAACCCACACTTATCAGATTAACGTTCAGTTTCTATTGGCCAGGTTCGTATCTGTTTGCACATAAAGATAAATATATCTAGGTATTTCTAAATGTATTTTTTATYTTTTATCACGCAGTGGTATAATAATTATCATGATTATCACGTGTCTTTCCGTTATTATTAATTATGTTCATGGGTGATATGAGATTTTAATCTTGGTAAGAGTCGTAGGAAAAAGATGTGACAAAAGGACAAAAGGACCATTAAAATGAATACCATAGGATAAGATAGGATAGGATAGAAAAGAAGAGAATTATATAGAACAAAAAAGAATAGAATGGAATAGAATGGAATAGAATGGAATAGAACAGCATGGAATAGGAATAGGATAGTTTGGTATGGGATGGGATAGGATAGGAAAAATA